CAAGCCCTTCAGTGCCTGGTAAGGACTAAGAATCCAGGACTTGGGTTACACAGTGCGATGAAGCCAGTGGGAACACTTGGCAATTAGGAGGATTTAATTGGTCTTTGTGCAGATCAGCGCAGCCGTTCGTGCACGGGCTGCTGAGCCACAGTTACTCTGCTTGCACACGGGGGTAATAGACTGCAGCTCACTCTGAGTTAATTTGTGTTTAATTCATCATGGGTTGCCTGTGTGTAAATAGCTACATCTCAGCTTTCTATCTAAAATCATGGGGTTTTGTTGTTACAGCACTGAGGCAAATATGGTACAGTTTCACAATCATAGAATTATAGAATCTTTAAGGTTGCAAAAGAGCTCTAAGATCATCGACTCCAACTGTCAAACCAATCTGAAGCCGCAGCCCACAGACAGCAAGAGGGTACAAGCTTCATGCTGAAGACAACCTCACATCCTACTTTCCCTCCCAGCCTCAGGAAGAAGAAATATTTGCACAGAAGTATGCAGAGCCAGCTGGGGAATACACTGATGTGAGCAATGAGCTGGCAACTCTGTTTCATATACATTTAGATCTACCCGCCCACTGTGCTAAGAAATATGTACAATACCACAATAAAATAAGACTTACTTTCACCATTGCCTCAATTTCTCCCTAAAAGACCAGTTCTGTTACCTGCATCCAGCTCCCCAAACAAATAAATTTGTGACTTATTTAGACTGCAGTGTGAAAGAATTGAAGATGTGTGCCATTTTCTCAAGGCATCAATATTTAATACCTTTCTTGATAACCTAAACTGTGGGTTTCTCATTCTTTGACTTCAAAGCATTTAGTGGCCTAACCCAGTACATCACATTACATAAACTTTTTTTAATGCTAAACATTATGTCAGAAAGTCTTCAGCACGTGGGATGCAATACCACAACATTCAGGCCACAGAATATGTAAATCTGTCCAGCATCCCTTAAAACACAAAATTCCTGGCCCTAGTCCTGCTCTGTAGGTGACCTGACATTTCTTTGCTACTCCAAACTCATCTGACTTGAAGGAGATATAAAATGGCCTATCAGATTCAAATACTTAGGGGGAAAAAAAAATTAGTGTTTTGAAATGCCAGAAAAAATAAATACATGCAAGGAGAAAAAATTTAAGCTATCCAAATGTTTTGAGTGCAAAACCAACATCTGAAAAAGAAGGTTATAGATGCCATTATGCTCTGAATACTGAAATCATCTTCTCATTGCAGAATGGCAGTGGAGAAATAAACAAAATGTTAGTTTTTACAGAGACAGGAATGGAAAAGAACATGGAGATTACAATGCCTCTAACTAACACACAGAAATGTGCTGACCATGCAGGTCAGGTTCAAGGTGCAGCTCACACTTCCATGATGTTCTAACAGGGACAGAAATAGAGAAAACTGCTAGGAGTAGATAGAGGGAATGGGAAATAAGAAGGAATGTGATAATATCAGAGCTGTTTAGTTCAGAGAAGTATAAATATAGTTAAGGTCACATTGGCTGCTCCCATTTGCTGAGATAATAGTGCATCCATGCAAAGGAACAACAGTGGATTTAAAGGTGAGGAAAAGAGGACCTGGTTATCATTCCAGAATTTCTATTTAGGGTAAAAATCTAAATAGATTAGCAATTTGAGATTTGATATTTAATTAAAAATAAATTATTTTCTTGTTTGATTAAGAGCTACAGCTAGATGTTCTTGCTGGTGAGAGGCATATTCAAAGAGATTTGCACCATCTTCTTGCAGGATACTTAGAATTGTCTAGTCCTATTGGAAAGTTTCTCCCATAGCAAAATCCCTCAGCATCATCCCCACCCCTATTTTTAAACATAAGCTCTTCACATACATTTATGTAAAAATAAAATGGGTAACAGGAATTAACATGCACTGCAGCTTTCAGAGCCTTTATTAGGAAACACTCACAGTGGCCAAATCAATGCAACAGCAGTTTTGTTCTTAGAGGAAAATCAGAGTTATTCTGGTCATCCTCATTCTTACTACTTTTATCCTCTTCAACATATACTAATAGTTCCTCTTTTAAAAGTGCAGGAAAGGAATTCAGAGGCATTTCAGCTACAAGGAGAATTACACAATTTGCCACATTTCTCTAGCTGGGAAAGAGGAGGGTAAAATCAGCATCATGATATTGTGATACCACTGCAGCAGCTTTTTCTTTGTTTGGCAAACTTCTCGACTGATAAAACTGTACCATCTCAGAAACTGGGAGTAAAACCTGGCCAAGGTCTGTGTGCTCAAGGGAGAAAAAGGGAAATGCCAGTTATGGCTCCTACTTAATCTGCTTTTCCCCATGCAGAATGGAAGGAGGCAGCTGCTCATAACCAAGCTTCTGAAGTGCCAAACAGCTTCAGTCCCCAAAGTAATTAGTGGAACTACACAATTCTTTAACAAGGGGGTCTGAGACTTTCAAACCTGGTTAATACTGTATTTTTTCCCTCTGGAGTTCCGTGTTCAGATTTTCTGCTTTTTGTATCTTTCATAGCTCTGTACAGTGTAAATGTTATACAGTCTTTGAATATGAAAGGGTTCAATGATCTCACTGGATGGGTCATGTCTAACTAGCAGGGTAAGGTCCACTCTAAAAGGACATTGTGTTTTTGCAGCGCAAAGCGTTTTTCAAGGATTATTGCTGTTAAACTACACCTGGAGGTGCATAGAGACCCCTGGAAATTGTCTTTGACCTTACAGTAACCTTGTGTAGACAGTGTTAATCATTATTATCTTCTATATTACCATCCCCTGTTGCCAACTGCAAAGCTAATGCCACAGTAAAGGAATGATCATTGCTTACATTATAAACACACAGTAATTTGACAAGCAAGATTTGAGCATATTGATCTGAACAGAAGGCAGTCAACATCTGTAATGATCATTCTGCATCAGCTAACTAGTAGTAAATAAATAAATAGTCAATAAACTACCCCCCCAAAAAGCTTTTTTGGGAACTTCTGGAGAGAAAATACGTAAATCAATGCAGAGACCCTTCAGTGTGTGAAACTTCCCTTCTTCAGTGGAAAGGACAAGCTGTGCTGTACATGGGGAGATGCCTGTTGAAGCAGCCTGCCAAGTGGGAGAAGCACAGCAGTGACAGAGGACCACACTAGAGATCAATAATGCAATTTGTGGAAGCCACAGTTTGGGTTTTGTACTGCAACAAACCTGCAAGGGGAAGCTAATGCTGTTTGTAAACCACTGGAAGAAGCAGAGAAACAAGCGGTTACTATGATCAGTGGGAAAACTCACCACAAGTAGGGTGGATGGTGTTTCTGTACATAGAGATGAGCAGACTTCAGCAGTTGGCCTTAAAACAGGTGTTTCTGCGTCCAAATTACAAGAAGAAAGTTGTGTTCACACCAGGTGAACTGCTCAGCTCACGAGGAACACTGCTGGCACTGCCATGCACAATATGTCAGACTTTAAAAGCTTCCATTTCCCAGTCACCACTTAAATTCCATATTTATTTTTTTTTTAGCAAGCAAAGTCTTAGAGGACTGGTAGTTGCCATAGACACATCAGCAAAGACTCAAAAGAATGATCTGGGAGAATGTGACTATCTTTGAACCAGATCCCAAAGGGAATCAAAGCTGAGGCTGAGATGACTCACAGACACACAGAGAGAAATCAGCTAAGCTGGCAGGTAGAGCTGGAGGAGCAGCCCTGATGCAAACAGCCTGGATATAAACACCATTATCACCTAAAAACAAAGATTCAAGTTCACATAAAGATTCAATACCTTGAGCACACCTCATTTGGTTTCCTGAAATGGGGTTGTTTAGATACAAATAGAGCAGGGTCCCCTTAAAAGAGTTTTCTAGCATAGGACAGTAAGCCCAGCAGGTTTTTTCTCATTAAAAACCTCATTAAGGACAGAAGTCCGATTTTATCCCTCTCATATTATCTATGCAGTCCTGTTTATCTTGGGAACAAATAGATGGGACTGTTCTGCTGTGAGACTTCTGTGAGCAACCTTTCACCCCATCATTATTTTTATATTCAGCACAAAGCCCCTTTTTCAAAATGATGCTTTGGATTTATATAATGACTTCCATCCCACTGCCACAAAGAACATTATTCTAATTGCCAAGGGCTTGTTTATGCCCATTTTGAGGAATCAAAGATATTAATTAGCTGATGAGACATTATGGAAAATGGGGTCCTAAAGAATCACTCCAGAGCACAGTGTGAACATCGCTTCTTCATCTCCCGTGGCCAGGCAAATGGTCAAACCTCAGAAAGGACTTTAATTGCTCCACTAAAACCTCTATTCTGATTTAAGTCTTGATTAACCAGAACAGTAAAAAAGACTGGGGATAAGAAAAGTCACAGAAGACGTGAGACATCACTGCCATTTTGTCACCCCCTGGTTTGCTCTCCCCCTCTGGTTCTCCTCACCTGACCGACCTCCAAGAGCCACGCCAGGAGTGCTCCACTCCTCCAGCTCTCCAGCTCTTCTCGGGGGTGGCATCATTCTTGGCAGGACACCTCCTCCTCAGGCTGGATGCTGTCTCCATAACTGCCCAAAGAGCTCATGCATTTCTGCAGCCAAGATCATCTCCTCGTGCAGGCCCACAGTGCTTCGCGCCTCCGACGTGTCTCAGAACGTGGGAGAATGGTGCCACAGGTGGAGGGACCATCCTTAACTGAGCTCCCACTGCTCCCTCTGCTGAGGAAGCAACTTTCAAAGCATCCTTCTCACACCAAATGAATTTTGCATAAATTAATTGTCTCCATCCTTTTCAGGAATTAAATTAAACTGGGATCACCAGGCACATCCTGTCAGCTTTAGCTTCAGGCATCTTCACCTTTAGATAATTTCTAACAGCAAAGGATGGCTCAAAACATGTGGCTGTTAACACCCTCCAAATCAAATCAACGACTAATGGAAAAACAAAGGTTAACCTTTTTCATGGGTTACACTTCATCTTGTCCCATTTAACAAGGAAGACAGACAAGAATGATACCATTGTTCCTTTTCATATCAATTGGCAGAAATTATCTTTATTAGAAAAATGAATTTTTCATATATTTACAATTTTTACATCATGTTATACTTGGCACATGTGTTCTCCTCAAATAGTTATATACATTTCGGTACACACAGACATTCAAGTCCCCCATTCCCTTAATGTTTTTCTACATATTTAACAAAAAAAAAATGAACACAATACAATTTGTAAGACAATCATAATAATTATATATTTCTCTATCATAAAAAGTCTGAAGCAAACATGTTTTTGTTTTTTTTTTTAAGATATGTTTCAAAATATTTATACAGTATTAGCACTCAGTCATGCACTGGGTTAAAATATGGTCAGGGTGAACTGCAGTGAGACAGTGTGTGTAACACAGGAGAGAAGTGTGTGGATCCCAGTTCCTTCACGCTGCACTGGGTGCTCTTGGGTAGCTCCAGCTACCACCAGGATCTCCAAGGCAGGGGCAGAAGGGTGCAGGGGTAGCCAGGTGTACCTGTGTCTGCACAACACCACAGTTAAAACTGTGTGTGCACAGAGACCTGCGTGTTAAAACTCATTTCACTTTGCCAAACCTATCTAATAAAACAGGCAGTAATTGGAATGTCAAAACTGGATTTTAAATGCTCTCTTTTTCCCCAAACCCCTTCTTTTGAAGAATCCATTAGACTGTGAATTTTATAATGAAATTCTGGATTCTCTAAAAAATTAATTTTTTATGCCTGATTCCATTTCAGCAATATTCTTTTATTTCTACTCTAACATCCTGATTTATTTCCCCAGGTGTTAAGAGTTCTTCAAACCTCTCCTATTCTTTGTTAGCAACTGGAAATTTGTGACTTACCCTTTGGTTTGAAATATGACACTTTTGAGGGTGTTACAGTAAATTGCACTAGTAAATAACGGAAGTAATAGGCTTTTTAATTTACTGTGTACAGTTTTAGGTTAGTGCTCCCTGTAACCAGTACAAATAATTACAATTGGAGTTCTTTTCCTCCACCAGAAAAAAAGCACTGTTCCAACTGTACTAATAACTAATTTTCTTTGTAGCAAAAGCCTAAGTTAATATTGTGAATTCTTATTTTCTTAGTTGCATTTCACTTTTCATAGTTCAACTGCAAATAACTTTTAATCAAACTCAAAACAGCAACACATTACTTGAAACTGTAAATAAATGATTGTAGAATCTTTGTACAATGCTGGATTTTTGTCTTGCCCCTCAATCACCCCAAAAACTTTATACATATACATATATATATAAAGCTTATATATAGCTTATATATATACACATGTATATATACAAAGACTAATCAGGACAACACATTAAATTGACGTTATTCAAGTAAACAGGTAAAAATGTTTTTTAAAGTCTAATTTGAGATTTTAAAATATTTCTGGTGAGTTTTGTTTAGCAGCACAGAAATATTAGTGTTTCATCTAAGCCCACAAAAATCCTTAAACAGGATGAAAGGAAGCACAAAACACCCTTCAGGTTTTGTGTAAATTGAAATCTGATGAAGTAAACATTATTAACTCACAGGTGAAGTGCTTCTGAGAACCTGGAATGTATGGATGCAAATTTTGCATAAAAATGGAGTACTTAGTTAAGAATCAGGTAGGAGTTTGCCTAACACAGTAATGAATTCTGTTTGTACCTTCTGGTTTCAACAGGGAAGGCACGAGATACACTGTGCATGTGGGTGTGAGGTGTGAAGACAGAGGGATCGAGCTGTTCTTCATCAGTGCAAAAGGGAGGTTCTGAAATGAGTAAGACTACTTCAAAATATTATACCTTATATCAAGAATAAACTGCAAACAGTTCTTATTGAAACTGCATTAGTTTCCTTCCTAGCTGCACTCGATTTTATGTGAGGCAATTTCCATACCTTTGCAACACGAGGTTTGGTTTGGGACTTTGAAATCTGAGCGTGAACTGCAATAAAGATCTGCTCTCTCATCATTCACTTACACATCCCTATTTAAGTCAAAAGGTGTTTTGCCTAAGTTTGGAATCCAGACCTAGGCCAGGTAAAAATGAGCTAAGTAAAAATTTTCCTCTTGCAGATGAAGAGCTTGAAACCAAGTTCTTCTCCAAGACACACTTGCAATAAACTTGTAGACAAAATTTGACCCCATAGAATTTACTGTTTCTTGGTTAAGGTGGAAAGAATCAAAACTATCCAACTGTCTCTTTCAAAAAATTACTTCCAACAAATTAATCCAAGCTATTTTTTTTGGTCATAAATTCTAGTTAGAGAACTACAAATTTAGAAAAGCAGCCAAACAACAAACAACACAATCATCCCTCAGTGAAAATCTCCACATCACCAGCAATAGCAAGCTCAAAAGCCTGTGCACTCAGAGAAGTGGTTCTGCCTTAAACACCACTGCTAAACCTGTCTCTGCATGCAAAACCGATTTTGGAAACTGCCCAGTCTGCATGGGAGGATACAGGGGCGGCCACTGGTGCACACACCAGCTGGGCTTTCCTGGGAATCTGGTTCCTGAGGTATCCTTCCTCAGCTACCATAAGGAACATGGTTAAGGATCAGATGTGGATCACATAAGCTGACACTGAGTTTTAAAGTCAGTCACCAGGCCAATAGATCCTCTCTGGCCAAGATTTTTCCAAACAGTATGAGAAGACATCCTTTTCCTATGGCCTTGTTATTTATGGCAAGCATCAGTTCCAGCTCCTTCAGACAGGAACCCTCCTCTGACATGTTCCCACATGTCCTAGCACAAAGCAATCCTGATCCCAGCGAGTCCTTTAGCCCCTTCTGTAATAGGTATCAAACACTACAATAAATGCTGCTAGAGGGTTTGTGGGTTTGGGAGGTTTGGGAAGGAGAGAAGACAAGCACTTAAAATAAAGCAGTGCTGAAATGTGTCCCATGGCTCTGGGAGATTACTCACACATGACTGGGTTGGGAAGTGTATGCACGCACGCCTGGGTATACTGTATATATATTTAGGTTAACAAGTTTAAACTATTAATAAACAGCTTCTTATGGTATTTGGTAATTAAAATATCAGGCTTGTGTCATTCAAAATAGTGCAACCTACATAGCAATATACAGGAAAATTACACACATTGTTCCTATCACCATTAATATGCTTGTGCATATCAAGATGACAGGATACCCTTTTCCATAAGATTAACCTTTTGCATATTTAATTGTATTCTTTGGCCCATTTTCCTGTGAAACCTCGTATGAAAGCAAAGACTTTGGCTTTAAAAGAAAAAGAAAACTCCTGTTTTTTCAGTTACTTTCAGAAACTTAAATAGAATTCAAATTAGTTAAAAATTATCATCTCCTCCAGAAACTGCACACCCTACATCCTGTTACAGACTCCCCCCCCCCATAGTGTGGCTAACTGTGAACCTCCAATTTCTTTTTATTTTCACTTTTGAAGATCATTTACACTTCACATGTTGCACAACACATCCTCCAAAATTGTCCTCGACTCCTCTAATCTTGTCCCAACTGGGAACAAGGAAGGTCTCCTTCCCCAGTGGCATGAAAAGGCAGAGCAACCTCGTGAGGGCCTTCGACTGCATCACTATTAGTCCAAGTTCAGGGTTTGCAATGTGAAACAAAAGCCAAAATACATTTCCAAAAGGTTTTTGTCATTAAACACCATTATTAAACAGGCTCAAGAAAAAAAAAATTATCAGACAAAAGAATCCTGTAGCAATGATGTAACACAAATCTCTTCAGAATGGTCATTCTTATGTACTGCAATGCACAAAACAAATTTAAAAATGTATTCTCATGATGCATTTGCTGAGAAAAACATATCATTTCTTCTAATAGTACTAGAAGTGCAAAACAAGACATTCTCCATTAAAATTTCATGTCACTGTAAATATTATCATTTTCCCACATTAAAGCTAAGTACCATTTCTGAGAAGTGAGGAAACCTTCTTCAATTCCCAAGCAAAGTATCATCTCACTTGGAACTTTACAGTGCACTGAATAAGTATCACAATATTTACTGGTATTTATTTTCACAGTTTTATAACGTGCACAGAAATATAATTTTTGAAATATATTAGTGAAAACAAATACTAATACAAAAGGGAAAGGACAAAACATCTAGGAGTATAACTGCTTATCACCACTACTTTTTAAGAGTTGGAGAGTCGAAACCATCTCTCTTTTAAATATGTAATACTATATTTAGTGTGGTTATCTATTAATAAAGGTATCGCATGACAATGTTACAGCATGGTTATATTCTCTACTAATTTAGCCTTGTTTTCAATACAGGTAAAGAATTAAGCAAAAGGAGTAAAAATTGTCATTTAAGCGCAAAACAACAAAAACCTGGTAAATAGTGAGGTAACTTATTTTTACTTATATTATTTCTGGTTCTTAAATTATAGATATGACAAAATCATCACAAAATCAGCAGTGGATTCTTACAGCTGTTAGAATGGCAGTTATTAAAAAAAAAAAACCAGCTTGAACTACAGCAGATACATTCCGCAGTATGTAACAAAAAAAGCTCATGAACCCACAAGAAGAACTAAGTGCATTTTCACTGCATTGCAGGGCGATGCACACCTGTATTCCTGACTTCCAAAGTTGCAGGACTTTGGAAGAGCACATATTTTTAGAGAGCATACTCCGCACACAGGTCAAGAGAAGCAGGGGAAAAAAAAACAAAACAAAACCAATTAAAAGCTTGAGTGAGGGAAATAAATGAGAAGCTTATTTACAGAGAGTGCAGTAACCCTCCCCAGCAGGGCGGGGAGTGCTGCTCCCACCGAGCAGGGTGACAGACACCAGAGAGCACAACCAACCCCTCCCCACCCCACAGACACCGCTGTGACACTGGAATGAGGGTGGACATGGCGTTATTTCCACAATGGAAGCTGAGCACCGACAGGAATTTTACACTATGTACAGTATGTGCACATCAGACAGACACTGCTCAGAGCGATACAAGAGACACGACGGTCCTGAGGCTGCTCCCATTTAACCACAGCTTCACAGGTGACTCCAGCCTTTCCTCTCTCGCTCCATATACCTTTCTATGCTGATACCTACATCCACAAACACGCAGCTGTGATTAAACTGAGCTCCCTCAGTGACAGCAAACGCTAACATGTTGCTAATACATTGAAATAAGACAGTACAGGTGAGTTTGGGCAGGGAAATGGCTCATATAGTAAGTCATACTTTAAAAGACCTTTATGTTCTTTCAGAAGTTCCTTCAGCACTGCTATGTTTGGAAGGCTCAGCTCTCTACAGGAAGTTAGTTTAGATTAAAAAAAAACCCAAACAACAACATTGATAAAGCAAAGAACTTAAGTGTATCACTGGAAAACTGTTTTTACGTTGCAAATCAGATTGCCCTACGCAGGAAAGGTATCTGCTTTGAAAGAACTTTTGAGCTAAGACAGGACTAGAACTGGGAAAAGTTAGTAAGGCAATATATGACAGTCCATCTTGAAAGAAGCACATGATGTGATGATTAACACTTGACACAATTTAGCCAAGCCACAGATAGTTACTCTTTATATTAATGAGGAGGGGATTTTGCCATAAAAGTTTTGTTTTCACTAGGTTTTATGTATCAAACATCTTAAATGCAATGTAAAACAACAAAAAGATCCACCTCTTGAATTCTTTCTAAATCCAAGCTGAGATTTGTGACACAATTTCTGTTCTACGTTGATGAACCCAGGAAGGGAGGGAACAGTACCAAACCCTTCCCCATCACTGAAGTACATATGCTACACTGCAAAAGTATGAAAACAGCAAGTTATTCCACAAGGAATAGATTCTGACAGTTCTATCTCAGGCTGGATAGTCATGTGGTTTAAAGCAAACAATGATCCTGACCAGGGAATACTGCAAACCCCACAAACAACTGCTTGCTCGAGCACAGGAACCTATACACACCTCCAAGGCTGAACCTGGTACTCACTTGCAGATTTAACTGGTACATTTTTGAGGCTGGAGATAAATAGACTATTGCTTTTCTAAGCCTGCCTAACTGAGGTGTCTAAGTTAGGAACCTATACTTTCTAAAAAGGTCACAGTCCTCTGAACTTTCACCCAGAGGGAGTTTGCTTTCTCTCTCTCTCTCCCCACTGGCCACAGAAAGAGCTCAGCCTTCCAGCACAGAAACTCAAAGCTACACACACAGCTCTAGCTTTTGCTTCGTTTAAAACTATGTAAAAAGAGATTTATTTTCACCAGGAAAAATAAACCACACCTGATTTCCCTTGTGAGCCTTATATCACCTCTTAAGTGTTCCTGAAAGATCATAAAGAGACATGTATTTATGAAATGCTGCCAAAACACAGTGAGCTGGCGGTGATTTCATTTCTGTTTGTCCACAGCACTCTTTCTCCTAACCAAGCTTCTTAGATAGCAGAATAATGAAGTCTAAGCAAAAGCTGCAAAAACATTAAATTAAATTTTCTGAAAATGCAAAAATCTCTTAATTTTCCTTAATTTTATCTTATATATTAAAATATCTTATTACCATGCATTTAAATTAGTGGGTGGCTACACTGCTCTAAGAAACACAAGCAGAACACAAAATCCATTTCAAAGAAAAAAGGAAGATTTACTGTGGTGAAAAGGGAAAGACAAAAACATGAAGAAATTCTACAATATCTTTAAAAGAGAAAAAGAGCGAGAGGCAGGTATGTCTATGTAGCTGTTTTTACCTCCATGTACCTACTGCATTCCTCAGCAATTCAATATCCTGCCTCCATAAAAGGTGTCGTCCAGGAGCAGTGTAACACTACAGGACATGCTACCAAGAATGGCTCATATCATTTACAGCCTGATTCAGTTCCAGCTGGAGTCACAGGAAATCTTGGTGATAGGAATGACCAACAAACTGCTAGAGCTGTAATCAGGAAAATGTAACAAGTCACCAGCACCATCCAGAAAGGTACAGAAAGGATGGCCACTTATGCAGGAAGATTCTTTTCTCCTCTTCAAGTATAGCAGCAGCTAGAGTGAGAGAGAGGGAAATACAGAAAGTCTTGATCTCAGTTTAATTGAAAGTCAGTGCAAATACATCAACAAAGCTCAGGCAAAATTCCATGCGCTCTACGGCTGAGCCTCACAAGCTGTGGCTTGTGGCTCTACTGTTGAAGATTTTCCTTCAACTTCTCAGCTGCTTCTTCTTTATAAGTAAACATCTGCAACCAGCTACTGCCTACAGCCCTGCACTTTATCCTCTCCTTTCCCCTTTACTGTCTCGTGCTTATGCCAAGATCAAAACAACAAACGCATGCAGACTCCCTCTATTTTCATCATCTGGTGGGTTTTTTCCTCCTTTAAGGCAGCATCTTTTATTTCCATGTGAACAACTGCTGTGCAACATTATCAAGTCTTTCCTCTGTCTCTTTGTTTTGGTTTAGGGGAGGTGGTTGTATTTCATATTGCAGCTAATAATAATAAATCTCTACGGTCACCAGAAATCTGCTCAGATCAGAAAAAGCAAACACTGCAATATATTTCATTATAACTAATTTGCTTGCACATCTCACAGAAGGATAAATCCACCTGGCTTGAGGATGTTTACAATTGAACCTCAAGAGTTTATAGAGTTTAAACTAGAAAGTGTAAAAGGGAATTTTTCTTTCCCATAACTTCACATACCATACTCATATATATACTGAATTAGGTGTGTCTGGTTGGATAGAGAGATGATGATACAAAAGACTTGGAGCGACCAACAAATATTTTGAGAGCTTTATGATGATACAAAAGACAAGAGCCACCACTGAATTTTATGATTGGTAAAATGCTCAGCAATTTCCACTGCACTTTTTGGCACGATATCAGCAAATATCATACCTGCTGAAATACAGCAGACTTTAGTAAATATACTATGATTTGGATCGGATATTGAAATTTGCCTGAAATATTTTTATTACACTGATTACAGCATTATTTATGCCTTCGGTGCATTTGTTTTCCTGCAGACCTAAGACAAATATGTCTACGTCTTTGGGAAAAGGTTTGGGTTCATGACAAGTACTGTTCATCCCATAGACACCACCCTAGCCCTGCTCAGCTCATACAACTATTCCTGGGAAATATGCATGGCAGGTAAGGAACTTCTTTTTATAAAAATTGCCTCCAGTGAGGAACCAGAAAGCATCCCATGTGAATCAGGGCCAGTAATTATGACCAGATGCTGAATAAAGAATACTCAATACATATTTTTACATGGACAGTGTACAGATACCCATAGATATGCTTTCTGAACACACTTATGATAAAGCATACTGAGATTTCTGGAAGCTGGAAAGAGACTCAGAAGCCCAAATCTCATTACATTTCATTCCTTAAAAATATCATCCTTCACCAGCATGGTGAACATACAAATACATTTGCAAATACCAAGAATTCATTCTGGACTGTTTGGTGGTCAAAGTCAGCTTGAATCTTCTCAATAATAATAATTAAAAAAAAAAGCTGTAAACAATTCAAAAAACTTTATTTTGACTGTCCCTATACATCATTTATATTATCTCCCATTTGCAACTCTGCTCTGCAGTATGCTGTTCCAAATTAAGCAACTTGCATACTGCAACTCTGGCATGCAGATACTTCAATTGCAGCTGACAGGCACAATTCTGCTGAAAAGAGTTCCAGTTTGGAGAAAAGTTAGGGTAATATTCACATTTTCCAATTCACAGTGGTAATGGTTTCCCTGCTCACTGTTCTTCAGTGAAACAGAGGGAATAATGCTTGAATAATCTAAATTTCCTCTACACAAAAATCCTAAAGCAATTTGCAGAGTAGCAGGAGAATGGGAGAGCACCACCCAGTGCAACACTTTCAGTAGTTAAATATATTAGCAATTATATTTACTTCTTTAGTTTAAATTAAATTAGCATCTGTATATTCTACTCCTGAAAGGCTTCCTTTCCTCTCTTTCACGCTCCCTTATGGTTAAAATCTAGTAGGGTTTTTTTCCAGTGAGGGTAAGGAGGGGTCTGTAGCAGACATTTTATTTGTGAAAGAATCTGATTGACATTTACTAAATGGAAAAGCCATTTAACAATGAACCCCTGTAATGTGAATATCTGCATATCAGTCAGTGATAATAAACATACTTAGTTAAGTGTGCATATATTCAGTTTATATAACAGACTTGATTGGAGAGGTTAAAAAAAAATGGTCTGATGTTCAACAAATATGCACAATATTCTGGAAGGAAGAAGTCCTTCTGAAGGTGTTAATCCTTTGCTGTGTATGCAAATAAATGGTATTGCACTCCTCACTGATTACACTGAACTTATGGCTGTCAGTGTTTGATACTGTATTAACAGCTTTAATACTATTAATATACAATTCATTAGTTGTCACTAATACACTATGAACAAAGAACTACAGTGGGTCGGGATTTGGTTTGGGAAGTGAAAGAATAAAAGAAATACTATACAGCCCTGAGTAATCACCAGTAAGGGGCAAATGCAAACTTACGTACACATTAGGCCTCAAGGTTACTAGTAAAGTCCACAGCTCCATAGTAAGTGCCATATAGTGATATCTAAAAATATATACTCTGGATTAGGCAGCTGTGAAATTTCTGACAAGATTACTGCAAACTTTTCAATGAACTTACTTTGTAATGGTAAGTGCATGTGCAATATAAGAAAAGCATTTGTACATGAACGTTAACCAATATCCATGGGGCTTCCTTTTGGTACACAGCAGTTCACATGTTTGGGGCTACTGCCTTCCCATCTATTGTCTGTCAGTCTAGAATGAACATACTAATTTTGTGCTAAAACACTGTATTTTATTTATTAAGGTCTTGGGATGTGGGGGTTTTTTTAAATTATTACTTGGCTTTGAAAATGATTATGAAGCTAACATGTATTTTTGAAAGTCTAGCTTTCTGTTCTCTTTTAGAGTCTTACTTTTGAATCTGTGCAAATGCATTCCTAATTCTTGTTGTCTGTGTCATACTACATGCATACCATATTGCTTATCCAGTACTAGAAAATCATTAAACATTTCTAAGGACAAAAGTACATTGAATGATACTTAGCAACATAAATTAGAATAACCGAAATAGTAAAAGAATTAGATACAAAACAGCATAGTTGCCAACATATATTGGGGCTATTTCAGTACAACTTGCCATTTATATATAAAGCATATATAAATGGCTATTTTTTATCCTTTTTCAACAAGACATATTTTAAAAGGATAGTTAAGAGCATACCAGTTTACCTATTCATGTACAAAAGTACATTGGGAAAGGGAGAGGTTTACGTGTCATTTACCAGAGCAGGATACTGTTAAAGGATAAGTTCTCCCTCTAAGATGGTGGCAACTATTCTTTCCCTATAGATAAAGTGTTCATGGAAAATTTAAACATCTGATTCAATGCTAGGCCTTTTCTTATACACACGTGTATTGCTACAGGAATTCAAAACCCTTGGAGTTGTGTACAAGCTATTCCTATTTGCAACGTAAGGCAAAACATGCTCTGAAATGTACATGTCATTATGGATCCGACCATCCCTGGAAGAGTATGATGCTGTAGACTGCATGGATGACCTTAAATAATTATCATTTCTTCCTCTTGTTGGCAATGAATGTTTATAAAGATCAGCTGGACTTCGCCTAAGAGATAAGTGCTGGTCATCACGATACGAGTGCAGAAAGGGATTGTCATCCGAGTGAACAGCATACAGGGACTTGCTCCTCTTACTGTCCTCTAGAGCATGAGTTAAAAGTGAGGCCTTGTTGCTCAATAGTTTGCTTGAGGGAACACTAAACATGCTTGCATATGGACTACTTTGAAGAAATTTCTCTCTTTCTTTCAAGCTTATACTACGAGAAGGTCTTCCAATATCAATTTCCCTGGACTTATCAGCGATATTATCAAAAGAGTGTTGCCTGCTAATCCTCAATTTATTTTTTTTATGATATTGCAGAGCATTACTTGTCGACCAAGTACGCTCATATATTTCTTCAGGAAGTGATAAGTTCGTTGTGTCCTGCAGCATCTGATCTTCTTCAATATCATAGAGGTTCCCCATCCGCAAGCATGCATCGCATTTATAGGGAGATCTGGTCGAATAGTGTCCCGCATAAGTGGGCAAATTGGAAAGACAGCTCCTGCAGTGGGTGGAATTCTGTCTGTATCTATCATCAGGTAGGGAAGCATTTTTATCTTTTAGAGTGTAGTGCTTTGCATAAAGTTTATACTGGTCATTGTTTGGAAGACTGTCTTCATTATGCATTGGAGTCCTGTTAGCGTGCTCGGCTTTCCTGTAGTTGTCATTGTGATCTTGATAAACATCAGGAAACTCCACAGTTTCTGGAAGGACAATGTTTTCGATGTACTGAGGTGTGTCCAAGCGGAATCCTGGCTCCTTGTCAGCATCAATTGTGTAGATTTTATCCCGTGGAGAGCTCTGTTTGGTTTTTAGATATGTCAGTTCCACTTCACTACAGTCTTTTGGGTATTTTGATGCTACTGTCCTTTTTTTGAAGTTGTCCTTGGTTTTGTGATGCTTGTTGTTGTTTTCAGCTTCCATATGGCAAGTAGCTCGGCTTGATGTCTCTGATACATCTGAATGGACAATCTCTTCAGGAAGGTATCTTTGGCTTTTCACTGAAAGCTGCCTGTTTTCCTCTGACCCGTCATCCCTCTGGGAACCTTGGCTCTGACGTACAGATTCTTGACGTAAAGATTCAACAGATTTCCTCCACAGCTGCCTAGGTCTGGAATTCACTTTTGCTTCTGTTGTTACTGCAACCTCTACCGTGTTTGGATTGGATTCATTCAACGTGAGAGGATGCTGACCTTGGAAAACATAGTTGTTAAGATTGTCCTTGTGTCGGTTGCCTGGAAGTGTCTGCAGTTCACTTATGTTGTCACCAAAAAAGTTGTCCTTTGTCTGAAAGGATCTGTTATCAGCAAATATCAAGTTACCCTTATCCATGACCATGTCCATAATCAAAGAACCCCTCTGAATAAAATCAGCTGTTCTTTTGGGGGAGTCAATTCTTGAAGGATTGATATTGGTCATGTTTTTTGCTGTACGTAGCAGTTTTAACATGTTGGTTTGTGAATTGGTCAAACTAAAGTCAGGAGACTTCTTTTTCTCTTCAATGTGTACTCCATGAATGCAGCTGTAAATACCCTGTAATATGAATAATATAAAACAAATTAAATCACTAGGGGCAAACTTTAAAAACTTCCATTCTATTATTAATAAGCAATGAAGAAAAATTAAACATTGCTTGTCTGATTACTAGAAAGATTAAAGTACATCTCTATCTTTTTATCATTTCCTTACAATGATATGGAAGAGTATTTTCTGTCACATCTGTTGGAATTACAAAGGAGTAAAATTGCCAGTATTTCACAAACCAGTGGCCCCTGACAGCCTCCCCAGTTTATTCCAGAAAACAAGATTAGAAGAGACTCCAAGGGGTTCCCCAGTCTCAACACAATAACAATCTAAGCTTCACTAAAGAATATTCACTTATTTTAAAACCAGTGAATAAGTTTTCCCTCTAAACAAGCGTGTCATTGGGCTATTTTACTGGTGGTTAAGGTGCTCTTCACTTGCACTGAATTGAAAAGGTTTCCAGTCTTATTTTAACTTTTCTGTTTCCTATTTTAGTACATATGAAAAAACCCCAGCTCTTCCTAAAGCCTGATTCTGAGTTCATTTTGAGCAAAAGGCTCAAAAGCCCATCTTCTAACTCCGTCTTTGGTCACTCCTGTGAGTTCAATTGACATTTCCAACCCTCTGAACTGGCAATTCTATGTAATTTACCTTTGAAATAAGTACTTCACCCCCCCCCCTCCAAATCGCCTAGGAGAATTTCATCTGTAAAAGGCCAAAAATATAAAGTTCAAACAGAAAATGTGGAGGTTAAGGTGTATATGGTTTCCAGACAATCTCCAACAGGGTAGGGCAAAGTATTTTTAATGCAGTTCCAAAATGGTCCGATCTACTCAACAGGGTAATTTCAGCACATTTCGAAGCAATTAGGCATTTTAGTATCATTTTCAGTTCTTCTCAGCTATACAGAAAATCCAGCAAAGTCAATTACCTAATGAAAGTACTGTGTGATAAAATCATATAAAGACAAACCCCAACTAATTTGCAAAAATATAAGGACAAGCACACATTTCCTTTTTTTTTTTTTTTTTCTCAAGTATCAGTTTTTTAGATATGTAAATCCCCTTTGGATCTGTTTAAGTTATCACTAAAACCTGCCTTAGTGTCTAACCAGACATAAATGATACTTGTGTTTGACCTTTTCTCATATGGTTTATTCAAGTTTGCTATCAAGAAAAGCTTATAAAACTATTCCACTATATTTTATAACTTCAAATCCTCTAGCTTAAAAAATGCACAAAGCTGAGAGCTAATGTATCTTATCAATTTACTATTTATTTTGCTTGGATTTTTATGTGGAAATTAATCCATTTCCTGCATCTGAGTTCTACCATTTCTTCATCAAAACTGCCCCTTAATGTATTTGTTTTCAGCATTGGATTACTGATTATCCTGGCACATTTGATATTTCATACCCTAAATAATCAAATGGATAAAGACTTTCCATGGAGTGCAAGTACATCCTAAGCCTACTGACTACTCCAGAGCATCACACTGATGCTCTAACACATATTTCAAATGTCCAGGTGGGAATAAAAGGAAAGATAATGTTTTAGGGAGGCAGTGTTTATGCTGTTTGTTGCCTAAAGGGAAAAAATTAAAGCAGTACTGACCCTGCTGATTGAGAACAGCAATCCTGGCCTGTCTGAGCAGACTCCAGTGAAGCAGAATCTGAGTTTCCAGTAAAACAAGTGCTCCCAGACAAAGGTGATCAAACTGAGAGCCATGGCTGCTGCAAGCATGTAAAACACTCCTGCCATGTTGTCGATGTCCAGCTGGCTGCTCATGACTTCATTCTTCTCGTTGTGACAAATACCAGTCAGCCACAGGGTTTCCAACTCTTCCATTTCCCCTGGGGAGAGCAAGGAGTCAAACCAGTTAAAAAAAATGCAAAAATCACTGCTTGCAATATTCAAAAGTCTTTGAAAGTTTAAAAATACAGCACCATTTAATGCTTTATTTGTGGAGCACTGTAGACTTATCTACTCAGGAGTTGCAAATATAGCAGATTTCAATTCACAGCACCCTACTTTCAGATGTCCTCAGATTTCATAAATTACGTGGGAAGCTGGCTGCTCTAGAAAGCAGGATCCCTGGTTTGGATAGAACTTTCTTCTGCTTGCTATAACTAGTAGCACTTGTTTCAGAGAGTAGAACTGAGCTAGGAATGGAGTTTAGTAAAGAGCTGGGACAGGCTGTGGTGATCAGACAGAGCTCCATCAGACAAGCATCCTGACAGTCAACCAGACCCTTTCATGTCCTCACCTCTCCACTGCTCTACACTTGCTCATCTCTGATCCACTCTGACCCTTCTCTTTGGCCATTCCCTTTAATGTCATAGGATAAATTTCACATGTTCTCACAGTCCTTTAAAATGTGCCACGAGAAGTTTGTTCTTTCCCATCAGATCTGTGATAACCTTACTTCTTCTTTTCATATAAGTTGCAACATTCTGGCTGAACCTCTCCTGCCATGTCTGGTCTCTGCCATCGTCTTTGGTATTGATTATTCCTTAGGGTTTGGGTATCTGGGGATTTGATTTATTAGCGTTCATGTCTCTCATTTTATTTTTTATGTTGAACAGCCACTAACCAGACACACTACAGGAATTAGCAGTATCTTTCCAATGCAGTTCTTCTCCTGGATTTGTCTCACTTCATTTTGCTTTGCCCCAGAGACCTGGGTGATGCAGTAACTGCACCCACATGCTCCCAGTCCTCTCATGGTGCCCTGGGCACCTCCCTCTGCTCCCTCCTGGCCCTGTGGATCACCTGTATTTATTTCACTGATGAGATTTGGCCTCAGATGAAGGACACTATCACTTAGCAGTGGTTGCTACTGCCAACATGGACAAAGGTGTGCAAGAAACTGCCATTGTTCCTGCCAAACTTTTTTTATAGTGTATGATTTATTCATTTTCAAGCATTTAGTGTTGTTCTTAGTGAAGCACTGATTGGCATACAGACATTTTTGCTCTCTTGGGGATATAGACTGCTGAGAAGTTATAATTTTTAATGTCAAAAACTTCACTGTTTCTAGAAAATATAGCAGGCAATACAGAGGGTCAGAAAGTACAGTGTTAACTATCTTGGTGTTTCCCAATTTAAGATATGGCTTCAATCTGGGGGAAGAATTCTCACAGTACAGATCCCTAATCCTTATCCAGTGATTAGGGAATACATTTTCAGTTTTATAATCTTGGAGAAAATATCAGAAAAAAATGGCTATAAGCTATATTGACATTTTAGCTTCCTTCAAGCTAGACTAGAAGATCAATGACCTGCTGTGCAAAAGCATTTTGCAGGATAGAGTGCCAGGGCAACAGGAAAGCTGCAGCCCACAGATATTTGGATGTGTGAGTTCCAACTGGAAGTGGAACACAAGGCTGTGATGGAGAAATTGCTTCTCACAGAATGTGAATGAAAAACCGAAGTAGAAAGGACAAGCACCGAGGCACTTTTGCAAAGACATTTCACAAATTTGTAAGAGATTATTCAGTCCCTAGTTAATTTTGAGTTTAATTTTGTGCTTGAAGCATGAATTGAACCTCCACATCTGCAAAAGGCAATGTGTCTTCTCCCAAATTACAGTGCTCAATCTTCAAAACACCTAAGAGCATCCCCAAAGAAGAAAGTCAATCCTAATAAATCTTTTAAAAACTTCTAATCCTGGACATAGGGACAATAAATTATTAATTGTAGCAGTATAGATATTGCACACATAGATAATTGGAGTTCATTATTGCATTTCCATATCTTAGAACATTTGAATTTCTTTTGTTCTGCTAAACCTCAGTGGACTGTTTCCCTTGTCTCTCTTTCAAATCATCCCCAAGGTCTATGAATAAAACTCACACAGGGTACAGAAGAGAAAAGAACCCAAGTCCAAAGAGAGAGCAATATTTCTGGTGTGTGCATTAGTAGCTGAAGCTCTGACAACCAGCTCTCATTACTTCCCACAGGAAAATTCACATCTCCCATGATTGTCAGGCATCAATTTGATTTGACTGCTGTGCCCTTTTACTATTCATAACAAAATTCACAAAGGAATTTAAACCTCTTTTTTATTACTGTTTCCTCTGTGTTTCTTTCCCTTTGGCATGTACATCTAAAGTAACTATTGATAATCCACCAACCTTTCCAAAAACATCCCTACAGAAACGAACTAAGCTTGTTTTGAGTGGAGATAAATGACAGTGCCCTGGCAAGCTATGAAGAACAAAGCATCCCAGAGTCTCACAGATCCTGCTATTGCAATATCCCTTCCATTACATCTGACAAGGACAGCAATCACTGTTAATTAGTGCCCAAAAAGAATCCACATTTTTACAGATCGCACAACACTACAAATCACTGGATTGTCATACTCATGTAATGATATTATCTGGGAATGGACAGATTAGGCTGGTAATTCTGGTCTCTCTATATGAAGCAGTTGCCATTTACAGTATATATTTATATACATGTGTATAGTACATATCTATATATCTGTGTGGTGTACACACAGAAACACAGACAAAACAGTTACTAATTTAACTGTAATAACACTTCAGCATAGCTGACCCTATAAAATTGGCAAAGTTCAATATTCTTATTGCTTTTCCTGCCCATTACATTTTAAACCAGATTATTTACAGAAGCCATAACAATTTCTTTACAAAATCCTCAGGCATAAGAATTTTTTTTATCTGGAGTGTCAATTCATTTCTTTTTTAAAATCAGTCTGTTCCAAACTTAGCCTGGAGTTGGAATTCAAAGCATTGAACTTTGAGCATAGTTATAATTTGGTTCAGAAAAAAAACATATTTAAAAGCATCAAGTCCTGTTGGAGGAATGATGTCTTTCAAATCCTTTTGGGTGGTCTGACTTGTGAGGTGAATGTATAGAGTGATGACACCTATAGCAATATAGTGGGCCTGGCAATTGAAAGGCCAGTAATTTGTGATTACCAGGCACTGGAGAGTTCAGTCATGTCCATGTGTGCATAATGCTAATTAGCAAGTGAAAGCTCCAAATATTCCATAAGACAGACCTTGGAAATCTAAGTCAGCAACCTCAATGTACATAAACCCCAGGCCTCAGTGCACCCAGTGTTAATGGAGTTCAAATCTGCCTCTAATAACGGGGTCTCAAGTTACTCATAAATACTAATCAGGCTTATTTTAAGACCTTTTGTTTTCACTTTAGGCACTTACTAAAAGGAATGTAATGCCAGAGTTATTTCCTACCTTCATTCATGTGTGGACTGCATTAACAGTTGCAGATCTCAGCAACAAAGTACATCATGACACTAGCACAAGATTAGAAAATAAAGAGTTCCAACGTATTTGACAAAAAAATATAGTGTTTATTTTTTGTTTTATAAATCCACAATATATTAAGCTGAAAAAATCCCAAATAACTACATGATGCCTACACTAAGAGATTTTTAAAAATTTGATAGCACTGTATCATAAAAGATCTACCTTATTTATACTGTGAGAGTATAAGTATAAGCAAATGTTTTAAAGATCCTTAGTTCAAGCAGTGTTGAGTCTCTGCACTCTTCACTCAAAACACATTCCAATGTATTGCAACATCCTAGCTCTCTCACTGTTAATTCAAGACTATTTACAATGGGTTTAGGTCACAGTACAGTGCTCAGGCAGGTCCCTTTGTGTTTCTCCTGGGTTTGATCCCATGGCTCTGGTGCTCTCTGCTCCCACTGCTATTTGCACAGGAATGTGCCAGTTGGCCATTCAGACTGAATATCCCACAAGTGCCTTTCTTTCTACATTTTATCAGCCTATTTCACACCTTATCATCCTGAGAAGGAATGATAAGGTTCAGGTGTGTCCCCTGAACAATTTTGTTACAATAAAAATATCATTATCCAGACACAGAAACGATACAGACCAAAGGGAAGAATTCCACGCTTTTCCTCACCGTGGCCCTCAGCAGGATTTGCAGGTTCTGGTGTCACCTGTCCCTGTCACCATCCCCTCAGGGCTGAGACACAGGCTGCCCTTTTGCAGTCTCTGCCACTGTCTCTTGAAGATGTGCCAGTTCTCTGGGGTTCTTTCAGGGGGTTTACAGGTATCCCTAGGTTCCTTTCATTTCCTAACCCAGCATCTTGTGAAGGTCTGGCATCCTCCCCTGGTTTTCAGCCTTGCTCATGAAACCCTCTTCCCAAAAAAGGCGGTGTCTTCCCAGGCAATGGATCAGCCAGGGGTACTGATGGCAAAAGCTCTCTAACTTAGGGGTCACTTCACCGATGTTATTTGTTTTCAAGTATTCTTTTCCCCTACATCTCACATGCACCCAGGAAGACGCAAACTGAAAATGACATATTATTTATAAAAAAGAGAAAACTTCAAGCCCACATAATCCATCACTCTCCACAAGCAGCTACAGAAAATCAGTTTGGGGTAAGAATTGGTTCGTTGGGGTTTTTTGAGAGGTTTTCAATAGTTGGTTTCAACAGGTTTTCAATACTAGGTCTGATGTCTTCCTTCTGACTATTAAAAAGTAAAAATTTTCATTATCACCCAAATATGTCCTTAGTTAAAAAATTGCCAGAAATAAGCAAGATATGAAATATTTTCATAAGCACTTAAGTCTATAATTCAGAGTTCTTACTTTGCTTCTTTAAAAGACAGATGTTTTTCTGCTCTAATTTAATCATGTATGTTAAAGCCATAGGTACACTGATGGCTCACAGGCTGCCTCAACTGCTTCCTCGGGTACTCTGGAGGGAAAAAAAGGGTTTTTAACACTCCATGTGCTGTCGGCAAAGGATAATGTCAGGGTAGCTCAGAGTGCCAGCCTGTCCCTTCACCTTATCACTACCCAAAGCCTGACACTGAGGGGCCAA